CAGGGCCCAGCGTACTTTCGGTACCAGATTTCCGGTGACAAACGTATATTCAAGAACCAGTTCTGGTTCCAAATTGCGCGACCGCCAAATATCACTTTACTAGACCGGACCAAGTGTACAATCATGCTTGGCTGTGACACCTGTTGGCTAATAATAGTTGGCTAATTTGGGGATGTGTTATTCCCGCAAGAATTATCAGTTCCTTACTGTCAATCAACAACCATGAGACCATTCAGTGTAAACATATTTTATTCAAAATATATTGAACAAGGATTGGTAAACAAGCCGTAATGGCTTATTTGAATACCTCTCCATTTCATTGATACATGAATAAAACAAATATTAAATAATATGCAGCATGATAGGAAAGCAAGCAACCTGCGTATTAAACATTATTAATCATTCATCAAACCTATGCGATTTTATTATAAAAGAATGGACAGAATGTAGTATGAAAGAATTTACAAGTACATTTTTGTTTGGATTACCATTTAGGACAGAATTTAAATTATATCCATGTTCGTAAAAATACATGCGATGTCTGATGTTAGAATAATTAGGACAAGTAAAGAAGTAATGTAAAGTATCCTCATAGGGGTGACCACAGGAACAGAATGGATCAACTGAAATGTGCCGTTCAAACATGTGCGCTTTCAAATTACTGCACCCAAGTCTGAGGCGTGAGTGGATAATTTGGCAGAAACGTGTACCAAAGTTTTTATCGAATATATTAAAATTGGGTGGTTTAGATGATTGGAATGCATTTTTGCATTGGCCTATGGTTTCAATATCGTACATATTCTCAGGCAAATCATTCCATTGTCGTATTGTATCAGGTAAAAACGAGTTGCTATACAAGTCACTACGACACCTTATAGTTTGAATGTTATTTCTGTTTCTTAATCTATGGTCACTTAACTGTGATACCTTTTCCGGCAGTAGATCAGTTAAATAAACTGGTGTCATATGATGAACCATTTTGTAAAATAATGATAACTTGCTAATTTGTCTACAGTCAACTAGGGGCATAGAGTTAGTTTCCTTATATATTAAGTCATGATTTGTTCCTCTAACTGCCCCGCAAATCGTCCGCAGGGCGTCTAAATGTAGATTTTCGACAAGTTTTTCTTGTTCTTTAGTACAGTTATCCCAAAGGTGCGAACAGTAATCGAATGTTGGTAATATATATGACTTGTACATTTGCTCTAATGATTTTCTAGATAATCTATATTTAAAACTATGAAGACAATTTACCAATGGACGAACCTTTTTAACTTATTCACCAATGTGGGAATTCCATTTACAGTCTGATCGCAAGGTTAGTCCTAGGTGTTTATGGTAGCCGGCTTCAGTAATGTCTACTCCATGCATTTTAAGCTTAGGAATTGGAAGTTGGTTTACGGTATTTCTGCGAGTGAATAAAACAGCTTCAGTCTTACCAGGATTAAAGCTAACCTGCCATAGTTCAGCCAGGTGAGAGATCCTGTTTAGGTCATTATTTAAGGAAGCGGCAGTAACAACATGATTATCAACAATAACATATACCGAAGTATCATCGGCAAAAAGACGAATGTTACTACTGATACCCTCAATGATATCATTTATGTAGACTAAAAACAGTAATGGCCCAAGGACAGATCCTTGTGGCACCCCAGCAGTGACTTTCCTTAGATCTGAATTGTAATTGTCTATAGCTACTCTTTGTAATCTATTGTCAAGATAACTGGAAAACCAATCAAGTAACTTACCCTTAATACCATGAGCTTCTAATTTCGCTATGATTCCCTTATGCCAAACCTTGTCAAAAGCCTTGCTAATGTCACAGAAAACTGCCCTGACTTCTTTGCCATTGTCTAATGCATGTAGTATAAAATCATACAAGTATGTCAGTTGGTATACAGTTCCATCCCCAGGCATGAATCCCGACTGCAAATTCGTTAATACGTTATTATCTACAAAAAAGTTAAACACATGTTTAAAAATACATTTCTCAAATACCTTTGATAAACAGCTGGTAAGAGCAACTGGTCTATAGTTTTACATTCATTAAAACTACCTTTTTTACGAATAGGAATGACAATAGCTTCCTTCCATATTGTTGGGAATTTACAATATTCTAGGGATAAATTGAATAGATTTGTAAGAGGAGTACAAAGGGATGGCACGATCATTTTGATAAATCTGTTACCTATTTTGTCTGGTCCACTCGCTTTGGAAATATCAACTGATAATAGGATGTCTCTTACTTCTTGTGTAGTCAATACAATAGACGCAAGTTGAGTCTTTACTTTACATTCAAGTGTAGGAGTCTCCTTATCAGGATAGTCAACTTGTGCGTGGTCAGCAAAATATTCATTAAATATATTTGCTTTATCTTTACTATCATTGAACGTATTATCGTTATGAATAATCGAAGGAAATTTCTTATAATCAAAATTTTTGGATTTTATATACTTATTCACTAAAGCCCACCAAAATTTAGAATTACTCCCCTGATTGATCTTATCATCTAAATCAGAAATATATTTCAATTTGGCTGCTCTCACGGCTGCCGTTACCATTCGAAAAGGTATGCAACGTTGTTTGTCACCGGAAGTACAAAGGTCTCGCGAAGTGCCGTGACCTACTTACGGGCCCTATTCCCTGAACACTAGGCCAGTCTTCATGGACAGTAATGCCACATCGTTCACGTACCGTTGGTAATTTCTTACGTAAGTGGGGGTTAGCGACTGTCCCGTCAGTAGTCCACATCTCAATCCTATAGAGCCTGTTTGGGACATAATGTGTCGCAGAATACGCCAGAGTGATTCTCCTGTACTAAATACTGTATCTATATATCTTATGCGAATTTGTTACAATGAATATCATTGTATGTCCCTCGGTACGAAAGATGTATTTTTCCGTGTCCATTCCATATATTTGAGAGTACTGGAGACAATTTCTGCGATGCATTAATTCTTCGATTGATATCCAAGCACATATTGAAATCGGTGAAATCACTGATTACGTGTTAACTTGTCACTGCAAGTGTCTTAATTATTATATTGTTAAAATTGAGTGTACTGTGTTTACTCTAAAAGTTATTTTTCATGTATATAGATATAGTGAGCACCGTTAACATTATCGTGGATGCTCATTAAGTCTGAGTTAAGTTCACGCACTTGCTGCTGTAATTTTGACATGACCCCTGTGTTTGTATAAACACAGTAGTTGTTAATCCTTTTCAGGGTGGTGGCAAAATGAGGACAAACCAGAGTTAATACCTAGTATGCCTTGTGTACGTCGAATGATGTCAGGGGTGATCCTTTGCCATTCGTGAAGGAGTCTTGGAGGGTAACTGGTGCCACTGGTCGTTGTCTAATTTGTCTCCCAAGGTTGTCCCAAAGCTGTTCAATAGGATATCCGGGGGACAGGCTGCCCATGGTAGAGTCTGAATATTGTTGCTGTTTGGATGATTCCGCTGTATGTGGTCTTGTCACCATAAAATGTCTCCCCATACCATCACGCTTTCACCGCCGAATTACTGATATTCCTGAATTCAGTTTGCTCTTAGCCGTTCCCTTCGCGCCTATACGCACGTGCTCTACCATCAGCATACATCTAGGAGAACCTGCTTTCATCCACAAACCTGACCCGCTGCCAGTTTCGTGTTGCCAACGTCGTACTTGTCTTGCCCACGTAAATCTGTTACGTCGATGTTGCGACCACAGAACAATTCCACAGCCAAAAATCCAAGACGAACACCCGGACTTGCTTTTGAATTTTAAAGCACATAGTCACACTTAACACACCTATATGGAGGTAGGTGAGTGGGTTTAGCTTTACGCCGCACTCAGCAATATTCAGCTATTCAGCGGCGGTCTGTAAATCATCGAGTCTGGACCAGACAACCCAGTGATCAACAGCTCCTTGTTGGGCCATTCTTATGGCTCGCTCTCTCTGCACGGCAGTCAATCTCGGCATTTTTGTGTGAGCTTTTTGTTCCTGTGTTCTGAACGTGTCGCTTCAGTTGTTTTATACGCTGTTCCTCACGTGCATTTCGTGGTTTTCGACTTAAACGCATGTTTTTATTGTTCACGTTTTTTCTACAAATGATATTGAATAAAGTGCGTTACGTCGATTGTTCCATTTTATCTGTCAGAAATACCCTTATTTAAAATAAGCAAAAGCTCCAGATTGTAAACTTTCTTTTGGACATCAGTATATAACCCCAAATCAATAAAAATGAAGCTTTCGATGAAACGTTGACTTTTAGTACAGTCGTTTTTAAATCAGTTCAGAAAACTGCAGTGTACGTACTGCTACTATGAAATATATAATCCATTGCGCCTGGCTTCTTCCAAGCAGGGGCGGTGGGGTAGCCTAGTGGTTAAAGCGTTCGCTCCTCACGCCGAAGACCAGGGTTCGATTCCCCACATGAGTACAATGTGTGGAGCCCATTTCTGGTGTCCCCCGCCGTGATATTGCTGGAAAGTTGCTAAAAGCGGTGTAAAACTAAACTCACTCACTCACTCTTCCAAGCTGCTTCCCATAGCTTTCCATATTGTGTGAAACAAGAGTTTTACATTGCAGTATGCCAGGGCGTGGTCTCCAGTATCAAATATCAAATTTGAACCACTATCAAATAGCGATGACACCAGGTGTCCCTACTACTACATACAATTCTCGAAGCAGTTGTGATCAAGTTTATCAGAAGCTTATGCCACCTAAATACAGATATTAAAATTAGTCTTTATCAATTTCAAATTCATGTCAGAGTTTTGTGTTTTTGCTAATGCTGGTGAACATTACAATGTTTTCTAATCTTTAAGAGCCACACAAAAGCAGTGGAAGGGACTTTCCGCGTGCTCAAAGTGACATAAATTTGACTGGTTTCTCCTCAAATGATATGTACTGTGCACACAAAGAGTTGAAAGTTTAGATCAATATATGAAATATAGGTCAAGCGAAATTCATTTCAGTATTCAATAGAATTATGGATTAGTTTCTCAATTACTTACTTACATGACTTTTCCACGACTAGTACACTTCCGTATAGACTGACTAGAGGTTTTCGCTCCAAACATCAGAGTACAATGGTGACGCCACTGTTCTATATCTTCAACAGATAGTCAATCCCTACAGCCACTCACCTGGAGATAACGATTTCTCATAATATGTGTATTGGATATATAAATAATTGATAACGCTGCAATAGTTTCTGTCATCGAAAGAGGTTTATTTCCAATTAATGTGCGTTATGTTATGTTTAAGCTATACTGGGAACGCAGGATGTTGTTTTTTAATGAGTGATCCAGACATCTGAACGGAGTGAGTGAGTGAGTATGGTTTTACGCCGCGTTTAGCAATATTTCAGCAATATCACAGCGGGGGACACCAGAAATGGGCTCCACACATTGTACCCACGTGGGGAATCGAACCCTGGTCTTCGGCGTGACGAGCGAACGCTTTAACCACTAGGCTACCCCACCGCCCCTCATCTGAACGGAGGTGACTGAAGGTGGTTAACCGACAATACGTTGATTGATTGTTCATTGAATTGAAAGAACGGTGGACATCATGTAAGTATGATTACACAATTCTATTTAGAAAGGTGTCAAATGTAACCAATGTTAAATTTGGAATTACACTTTCGCAGTAAAGTATAGATTCTTGTACTTTTGTTGGGTTGAGTCCCATTCGAGATTCGAACCCACACTCTCAAAGTCAGGCACCAAATCGCCAGCACACACGCCCTGTTTCGGACACTTTCTGGAGGCTCAGAAATAAATCAATTTTAAATGATAACCCCTCTCTTCTCCCGTCCAGTGCCCGCAAAACGCCAAAACGCCAAAACCAAAAAACAAAAACAACAACAAAAAACAAACATAACAAAACATGTGTTGGCAGTGCATGTGCGTGTACAACCTAGTGATTGATATTATGATCAACGTTGCTCTTGTTCATCCCAATGGGGGCGGTGGGGTAGCCTAATGGTTAAAGCGTTGGCTCGTCGCGCCGAAGACCCGGGTTCGAATCCCCACATGGGTACAATGTGTGAAGCCCATTTCTGGTGTCCCCCGCCGTGATGTTGCTGGAATATTGCTAAAAGCGGCGTAAAACCAAAATCAGTCAGTCAGTCATCCAAATGCCATTGACAAAATAAATCGCTTTCATACAGTCATATAAGGCAAATGCATTTCGAACGTATATTTATTTGCCATTTTATTGGTATGATCTTTCAGCAAGCGGTCTGTTGTATTGGGATACATTCTTTGAAGAATCATCTCAAAGTTTATTGATTCAGCTTCAACAGTAGCACCCAATTTAATTAATGTAATCGAACCTTGCGTGCAGTGATTAGTACCGACGGTTTAAATCAATAATAATTACTGCATGAAAGAACTGTAAACACTTTTCCGTCGACTAAGGTTTGATGCAAATTGCTGAAAAACAAAATATTCAACACGAAATCGTCAGAAGCTAGAAGCTAATTAACACGTTACCAGATGGGTGCACAATGTACACAGCATCTTATTAGTCATCTTGCCTTTCACACTGTGTCGGTCTTCTCTGAATAATTGAAAAGATGTCGGTTGTGTGATTGAGTATCTCCATCGATGAATGACGCAGTGAATTTTGATTTAACAGCACTTTAAAGAGTATTGCAGAGTTGACATTTGTTTGTTTGTCGTTTAACACCGGAACCACTGTTACTAATATTCCAGCTATTATTACTGTGGTCTGTAAATAATCGAGTCTGGACCAGACAAGCCATTGATCTACAGCATGAGCATGGATCTACGCAAATGGGATACGATGATGTGTGTCCCGTAAGTAGCCCTCCACGATAAGGGTTACTGAAGACCAATTATAACCCGGATCTTCTCGACAGGGGCGGTGGGTAGCCTAATGGTTAAAGCGTTGGCTCGTCATGCCGAAGACCCGGGTTCGAATCCCCACATGGGCACAATGTGTTAAGCCAATTTCTGGTGTCCCCCGCCGTGATGTTGCTGGAATATTGCTAAAAGCGGAGTAAAACCAAACTCAGTCAGTCAGTCAGGTGTCAGTGTTACAGACAGCTTAAAATGTGATAGGTGATGAGAGAAGGGTATGCGCGCGTGCGTGTGTGTGTGACTTCGCATTCAATGAGTGAGCGAATTTAGTTTTACACCGCTTTTACAGTACAACCAGAAATTATTGAGAATTTAAAGATTGTAATTTTATATATTTTTTTTCACTCATTACTCACGTATTAAATGTGAATATTAGCAGAACATAACTCCAGATTCAGAGACAGGTGAACAGCTAGTATTTTGTCAAGTCACCATGGGCTTCAATGCGGCGGGGCATACTACTGAACAAAGAAGTTAGAAAGTCGTGGTCCATGCTGTCCCAATATCGGACCACCTCTTCTTTCATTTCAGCAATATTTGTCAGATTTTTCTTTGACACTTTCTTTCATAAGTCCCCAAACACTTTCTATTGGATTTAGGTCAGGGCTATAGATTGGCCAATCTAATAATGTCTGGCCTGTGAATGCTTTGAGCGATGTTTGGATCTTTGTCCTGCTGGAAAATCCAGCACTTTCCATAGAACACGTGAGCAGATGGAAGTAAATGTCCCTCGAGAATATCTGTGTACCGCTCACTGTTCATATTCCCTTCAAAATACACAGAGGGGCGTTGCCCCTAACACATATATGCCACCCCACACGTTAAATTTCGGACTGTACTTTGGGCGCTGATACAAAGGTTTTCCAGTTTGTTTGGTCCAGAATTTCAGTGTATTAGGAAACAGCCACACTTTCATCTGAGAAAATCACATTCTCCCAGTTAAAATTTCTATGCTGTAAGCACCAGTTCAACCTTCGCTCCTTTTGTTCAGGTTTCATGATCGGTGATGGAATTCCTTACAGTCTCCTTACAGACAGCCACAGTTCCTCTATCAATCATATCCAGCCGTAGGTTTTCTAAACTCCTTCGTTTATATTTAGAAACAAGAATACCAATTTCTGGGCCTACCTGCGCCTCCCTGGTGCTCAGTGTCATATCCATTTGCAATATTTTGCAAAACACGATAAACAGTGGACAAAGGGATGCCTGTTCTACTTGAAATCACTTTAGCTGATCTGATGTCCTTGTTATAGTACTCTAAAAAAAACTTCCTCTTCTCTAAATCATCCATACTGAGGATCACTGAAAATGTCGTCTGCTAGCACGAAAACAAAGGGGGGATAACTTTTAACAAACTAATGAAAAGGGATTAATGGAGTTGTCTCTCTTGAATGAAACCAAGCACGTGATAGCTGGTCAAGGTTGTTTATACTAGAAATCCAATTAAACATATTCCTAAAATTCTCAATAATTTCTGGTCATACTATAGCAATATTCCAGCAATATCACGGCGAAGGACACCAGAAATGGGCTTCACACATTGTACCCACGTGGGGAATCGAACCCAGATCTTCGACCTGAGAAGCCAACGCTTTACCCACTAGGCTACCCCACCGCCCCCTTAGCCCACAAAGACACCATGGCGCAGTTTAAAGTGCACGTCCCTCGGACACAGTATACTCTGACAGTCCTTGTTTTGTACCCTAATGCCGAGTGGCAGACAGGGTGACATCAAGTACAATATCTTAATACGGTTAGGGATTCGAACAGGCAACTTCCCTACCAAGAACTACCTATTGATGCCAAGAGGTCCAACCATTAGTGTTTTAGTGAGCAGGGCGAGATGACGTCGTCATACTGTGACATAAGTGAAGTCCTACACAGAGTGAGTGAATTTAGTTTTACGCCGCTTTTAGCAATATTCCAGCAGTATGACGATGGGTGACAGGACAGCCACTGTACAGCGCTTTGTAAGTGGTACTCTTACTCCACTCAACGCACACAATGTTAATGAGCTCGAGTGAGTATGGTTTTACGCCGCGTTTAGCAATATTCCAGCAGTATCAGGTGGGTGACACCAGAAATGGGCTTCACACATTATACCCATGTGGGGTATGACGTTCGTTTGTGACGAGCGAACGCTTTAACCACTAGGCTACACCACCGCCCTCATACACAGAACGGCGTAAAAAACCGATTCACACTCAAAGGGTAGATTTCTGGGTTGCTAAGGAGCGCACGTCACAGTCACGTACTCATTCAAATCAATTAATTACCACGATGCCAAAACATTTTCAAATCGAAGACAAATTTTAGAATTAATTATCCTCGATATAAGCGTGCCTCACGTATATACCACACGCCCTGTGCATCATGGACTGCCTCATCAATCAAATACAGGAATCGATTAATGTTCTGCGCGTACATGGCTAGCTATGACGTACCCCGATAATATTGGTACAATATCGGATTGAGAGTTTGTAGCGTACACAGTGACATGTTATATCTGATCATATGGACGATTGGCTATTGGAATATTGCGGGCTCTTTAACTTATTGATTTTTATCAATCTTCAGTCTACGATTATTTGAAGTGTGGTTGATCAATAACAAAGATGACATATGCCGCACGTTCTCAAACAAGTAATTGCTTCATTTTTTGTTGTGGAACAATTTTCGCATGCACAAGTTCCCATGTTCAATATCTCTTGATGACATAAACCGTTTTGCTTTAAGGCCAAAATCCAAGATGAACACCCGGAATTTCCTTTGAATTTTAAAGCACATGGTCACACTTATATGGAAGTAAGTGAGTGAGTGAGTTTAGTTTTACGCCGCACTCAGTAATATTCAGCTCTATGGCGGCTTTCTGTAAATACTCGAGTCTGGATCCGACAATCCAGTGAGCAACAGCATGCACAACGATCTACGCAACTGGGATACGATGACAGGTGTCACCCAATTCAGCAAGCCTGACCTCCCGATCCCGTTAGTCGCCTCTTAAAAGCATGAGTTACTGAAGATCAATTCTAACCCGGATCTTCACGGGTGAATGGAGGTAAGAAACCTTGAAGCATAACCAAGGGCAAATCGTCTATTGGAACTTGCCGTCGAAGCGCAAGGGACGCATTTCTGCTCAGCGACTTCCGTCGCCTAAAATGGTCAGGCCACTCATCACCTCAAGACGACAAATGAACATACTATGAAATAAGAAAATACTTTTATTTACAGTAAAAGGCAAAACTGTCTCAAAAATCGTTTCAGGTCTGTAATCAGAAGTGAATTCGTGCATAATAGTTCATTTATACATACAGTGTATTAAATTATGGAGATTTAAAATCTGCCTGCAAGTTGTAACAGAACATGAGGTTTATATATGGGTTCGTCTGGTAATTCTTTTAACATCTCAACTGAACCAACATAGAATGATACAAAACTGCCTTGATTAGCATGCAGCTTCAGAAATAGTATGAGGCTCCTTTCACAGATACAAGAAATCATACAATTTAGCAACTGAAGCTGATGTATACAACCCAAACAAGTTAAAGATCATCCGACTATTCCCTATAAGTATAGTTAACTGGTCATTCTAGGCCATTTAGACTAAAATGAGTGAGTGAGTATGGTTTAACGCCGCTTTTAGCAATATTCCAGCAATATCACGGCGGGGGACACCAGAAATGGGCTTCACACAATGTACCAATGTGAGGAATCGAACCTGGGCCTTCGGCGTGACGAGCGAACGCTTTAACCACTAGGCTACCCCACCGTCCTATAGTAAAAGGAAACTGCGGTGTTTCTTAACATATGTTTATTGAATACTGATGTATGACAAAATGACCGCACATTATTGTGATGCCCGAAAACTGACAATATCACGAAACTGACTGTATAGATTGTTCACAACGAACTATTCACCACAGTCGACCACATCAACTTTAGATCAATTCCATTCTTTTCGCATTGAGGAAAGAAACTAAACCACTCTTCCCCTATAAACAGCTGTGATATGAAATGAAAAGTACCAAACACTCTCATACAACTAATGGAAAATATTTGTCAGGCAGAAGTTTGAATTAAAACACTGAGACACCTTGTGTTGAGCACAAAACATAAATGCGCTTCGAACCTTGAAAACAAGACAAGGTGTTTGGAATTTTTTGTGAGTAAATTTTATATTTGTGTATCAAAAGGTAAAACGTTTGGTATAGCTTACATGTAAAAGTGAGCAATATACCCGTACAACGAAAGTAAAATACACTTGTAATAATAAAACATTTTTTACACGATCTGCTTCTTAATTACAGGTGAGAGTACCGCGTTGATCATTACATCCACCTGTTGAAATATAAAGATGGTAGAAGTGCACCAGAACTGTGAGCCATTTGTTTTTACTGACGAGTCTACTCCTACTCATTCATCCAATACAACAGGGTTTCCATAGCTCCGCACATGACCTCCCCTTTCTCCCCCTCCATTGCTAACCCTGCCCCTCATCTGCCCCACCCTAATCCACCCCACTCATACCCTGCTAACAACAATCTAAGACAATGAGCGAATGAGTAATGTATGGTTTCAAGCCGCTTTTAGCAATATTCCAGCAATATTGCAGGAATATATGGGGACTCCAGACATGGGGCTTCACACATTGTACCTATGTGGGGAATCGAAACCGGGTCTTTGGCGTGAGGAGCGAACGCTTTCACCTCTAGGCTACCTCACCGCCCCTGTCTAAGACAAGCGTGTATTTCCTCACCTGATTAGTGAGGGTTATATATTACAACACGGGATACACAAAGCACTATATCACGATGTATTGACAAGCACTAGAGCGAAACAAACGCAATGACATCTGAATTTCACATTTGTTTCACTTTTTTACCATTAGTATGGATTAGGCTTGAACTAAAACCTTCCCAGGATGAAAACAGTTTCAAATTGAAATATCCATGAAGATTCTGGCATTAAAGAAAAGATGAAACCTTCGTGAAAGCAAACAATTACAATTACAATCTGAAATACATCGACAAATAAAAAGGCATACATCCATTAATCGCACAGTGTCCTATGAACACGGAAAATGTTTCATAAAAGGATTCCGATATGAATTACGTACGATAATGAGTTGTACTTCATCCGTTAGAACTGAACATCTTCCTGATCCGGACCATCAGTTCCAAACGAAACCTTTCAGATGAAGGTGAAATAATGTCTCTGTGTACATGTGGACACTACAACAGGTATTGTCCGAAAGGTCGTGTTCCTGAAGTTTAGAAAAGAGTTTAACCATTCAGATCTCAGTCCTTCGTCTAAATGTTATATCTCTAAAGAAATAAAATTAGGATCGTTGCAGTTTTCGTCCACTTTCGACAAAGATTTCGATTCAGATTCGAAAATGTCATCATCCCAAACTAGCGACTCCTCTTGAGGTCTGAAAGGGTAGCTGTCCCACAGAAGCGAATCATCCATTCTACTGGCGTCATCAGAACCTTGGTAACCCCGAGGCTGAATCTCCAGTAGACGCCTTGCCGGAGTGTGTGCTGAGAACCGCCTCTTTTCCAGAAACAGAGTCACAGGAGTCACTGGGAAATCTGGTCTGCTTGGAGAGAAAGGCAGCTTGTTACCCGCACCGACACCAGGCTTGATGGAGGTAAGACGTTCTATAGGTGTTGGATGTGGCCTTCCATGGGCGTAGCCAATCTTTGGAGTCCGGTATGGAGTAGATGATGCGATGGACATATCCCCATCTCCAGACTTCTGCCTCTTTTTGATCTGGGTTGGTTCTGTTTCGAGAGATCCGTTTAGAGATCTGTTATAAGATCTGTTGAGAGATCTGTTGTGAGATCGGTTAAGAGATCGGTTATCACATTCATTCACAACAGTACATGAACACACCTCTTGTTCTCGAAAGGACGACCCCTCCGTCAATGTCTTGATTCCCTTGGGAGTAGTCCATGCAAGGTGGTAGGGGGAACAGGAAGCCACGGGGTCCATGTTGTAGGAGTCCACCATTGAGAGGTCTACTCCTTCAGGGAAGCAGTCGTTGTCGTCACTTTCAGATGAGTAGAGGTCGTTGTCGGGAAGATGTTCCAGGTCGAGGTTCATACTGGTCATAGATGCCAATTTTACCGGCGTCTTCATCTTCCCATTTTTGCGGAAATGGACGGAAGACCTATTCTCGGTTGGACCACGTCTCAGGTTCCGCAGGCACTTCTTCCACAGCAGGCACCCGACTCCTGCAAGAATCAGCAGTGAAATTACCACTGATGATATGACAAGTGGGATAGTTTTGGCGTCCTCCGTGACGGACTGGACACACGGCTGGACCACGCAGGACTCCTGTGCCCTTTTGGACATAAGTCGGACTCCGTTGTCGTTGTCCTGATAGCTTTGATCATTGTCGCGGTAGGATTGGTCTGTCCTGTTGCTGGTGATGAGGTTGCCTAGCAACGCAACAATGAGCGCGGATATCAGCAACCGACAAAACATGGCTGAAATCAGAATAAGACGTTCGAATTCAATCCTCCATAATGCCATGATAACAGAGGGGTAAGACTTCCCTCCGTATCCCCCCAGATTTTAACAATGAGGACAAATTTCTTTGAGTGGTATATTTAGAACTTGGAAATGTCTTTCAGTGTGTAAAGATACATTTAAAGAAACATGTTAGAACTCATTGTTATCAGATTATGAATATATACATTGAGGTGATATGATTTGACTAGAATGAAACTTAAGGGGGGATACGGGCGGAATTCTTTCCACGCGCAATATTTCAACTGCCCAACTACCCAACTCCTTCTTTTCTCCCGTCAATAGAAGACCAGGTTATGTGTACCTCCAGTGACTAGTGCTGGTGTTGGCATACAACAAGCGACACGACACATCACGATAGTGAAATTTTAGTCACGACGATATATTGCCAAAGTATTGTGCACTTAAGCTGCGATACGATACGAATCCCAATACAGGGTTGGCGATACGATACGTATCACGATACTAAAGTTTAAAACACCTTAAGATCAAAACAAAACCAATTTTAAAGTATTTCGTCAAATTCCACCACGAGATAATTAAGTTTATACCCGGACGTTGTGAATGTTAATAACATGCGAACGCTCTGTCTGACACAGTTCTTGACGCAAGTATTTCAGTGAAAACGTTTACTTTTGAAGAGAAAATAAATAAGCATATATTTTAATCATCAAACAAAAGTAAGTCTTTTTTCTTGACAGATATCGCGATTCGGCAATATTCAAAGTTCAACATCGATGTATCGTGTCATGTTTGAAGTACCGTATCGGGATATACAACAATGTAAAACTTTGTATCGATTCACTGTATCGGCGGCCCATGGATCGATGCATCGATGCATCGATAGGTATCGATGAATCGTCACACCACAACCAGTGACACAAACACGCACATGGCGCGGACAAACCATACAAAAGACGAATCAGGGATTCGAACACACGATCACAGGTTTAAAGCAAGCATAATCGCACGATCACAGGGTTGTAGTGAACGAACACACTCAGTTCTGCATAGCAAACTGCGAAGTCTTCGACAACTAGACCAGCACAATGTCAACCTTGATGTTTGTTTGTTTGTTTGTTTGTTGAACGCCGCACTCAGCAATATTCCAGCTATGTGCCGGCGGTCTGTAAATAACAATTGAGGGATCAACATCTCGAGGCCAACTTTGGCCCCGACATGTTACTAAACATGTCAAAGAGCCGGACCATCCGATCTCAACATTTCCATGGCAACAAGCATGGATTACTAAGAGGGCAATATAACCCGGAATACACGGGGTACTGTATGACTGGATATTTCAAAGACAAGATCACATCACAACATATAAACAAAAGAAACATACTTGACAGGTATCATACATTGATGCGACGTTTCGGTCTAGATTCTTATACGGTTGTCAAGCATCACAAATCGACAATTTTGCTTGGCAACAGTTTAAGAATATTCACCAAAACGTGATAGCATAATATACCATTTTAAAAAAGTAGGGGCTATTGGATTTACAAGAATGATAAAATGCAAATGATGAAGCCAAGGAGGAAACAGGTGATGAAGAGAAATTAAGGGAAAATGTGACAATTTATTCCAATCCTTTGGAAATGTTTCATCTGTATGGATATAAGTTACTCTGTCTCATATGTATTGGAAATGGCTAGTGGAATACTCGCAAAATGGAATATGACCTACTTTGTGAGTTGCCAACTTCTAAAATGATAATGAAACAGTTCACAACATTATTATTTCATATTATCGAAAGTGTCAAATATTCCCTCGAACGTTTCATAAAAGCCTTAACCAAAAGGTGAACAAAGATGAAGCCGATATCATACTTACCTCAGAGTGTGAAGAGAATGTCCAAAAATTACAAAGGTTGTCGACTGTCGAATGTTCAGTGTGTTAGGGTTCATCCCAACAATGACAAATCAAAACAAGACAAGTGAGTGGGATTTATTGTTTGGGTGTTCGCGAAACTGCACGTGCATGCCTGAGAAGCGTGCATCCTCATTCGCTCCGTGTGGCATGACTCGTGAAAGAGCTTTGCGTTACATAACATCCTGTCGACCTCTTCATGCCGGGAACTGCCGACAGTTGCCGGAGGTGGGTGAAGACAACGCATCTCAGTGGTGTGATTTGGTGAGGTTGGGTGAGGGTGAGGGTGAGGGTGAGGTGGGGGTCGGGGTGGACAGTGCTTGCATGTGTCGATGGCTAATGACCGAAAACATTGTAGAAGTATCATGCAGTGTTTTTCACACAAAACCCACACAGTCTGTTGGTACAGATATATCTGTACATGTGTAGGCAAGTAAACGTAGATATAGATAGATCTGCAAAGGTGTAGGAATGTAAACGTGGATATAGATATATCTGTACAGGTGTAGGCATGTAAACGTGGATATAGATATATCTGTACAGGTGTAGGCACGTAGACGTGGATATAGATAGATCTGCACACGTGTAGGGATGTAAACATGGTTGTAGATATATCCGCACAGGTGTCAATATGTAAACATGGGTATTAATACATCTGCACAGGTGGAGGTGGAGGCATGTAAACGGGGATATAGGTACATCTGCATAGGTGTCAATATGTAGACATGGATATTAATACATCTGCACAGGTGGAGGCATATAAACGTGGATATGGAAAACACTGCAAACGTGTAGGAATGTAAACATGTTATAGATATATCTGCACAGGTGTAGGCATGTAAGCGTGGATATGTGTATACCTGCACAGATCTTAGCATGTAAACGGGGATATAGATAAATCTGCACAGGTGTCAGTATGTAAGCATGGATGTAAATACATCTGCACAGGTGGAGGCATGTAAACGCGGATATAGGTATATCTGCACAGGTGTAGGCATGTAAACGTGGATATGTGTATACCTGCCCAGGTCTTTGCATGTAAGCTTCTATATAGGTACATCTGCCCAGGTGGAGGCATGTAAACGTGGATATGTGTATACCTGCACAGATCTTAGCATGTAAACTTCTATATAGGTACATCTGCCCAGGTGGAGGCATCTAAACGTGGATATGTGTATACCTGCACAGATCTTAGCATGTAAACTTCTAAATAGGTATATCTGCACAGGTGGAGGCATGTAAACGCGGATATAGGTATATCTGCACAGGTGTCAATATGTAAACATGGATATTAAATTTAAGTCATCTGAACAGGTGGAGGCATGTAAACGGGGATATAGGTATATTTGCACAGGTGTAGGCATGTAAACGTGGATACAGATACATCTGCACACGTGTTGGAATGTAAGCATGGTTACAGATATATCTGCACAGGTGGAGGCATGTAAACGTGGATATGTGTATACCTGCACAGGTGTTAGCATGTAAACTTCTATATAGGTACATCTACACATGTGTAGGCATGTAAACGTGGATATAGGTATATTTGCACAGGTGTAGGCATGTAAACGTGGACATAGGCATATCTGCACAGGTGTCAGTGGAGGCACGTGAACGTGGATATAGATAAAGCTGCACAGGTGTAGGAATGTAAACATGGTTACAGATATATCTGCACAGGTGGAGGCATGTAAACGTTGATGTAGGCACATCTGCACAGGTGTCAATATGTAAACGTTGATATAGGTATATCTGCACAGGTGGAGGCATGTAAACGTGGATATTAACACATCTGCACAGGTGGAGGCATGTAAACGTGGTTATAGACATACAATGTATCTGCACAGGTGTTAGCATGTAAACTTCTATATAGGTACATCTACACATGTGTAGGCATGTAAACGTGGATATAGGTATATTTACACAGGTGTAGGCATGTAAACGAGGATATAGATAGATCTGCAAACGTGTAGGAATCTAAATATGGTTATAGATATATCTGCACAGGTGTAGGCATGTAAACGCGGATATAGGTATATCTGGACAGGTGTCAGTATGTAAACATGGATATTAATACATCTTCAAAGGTGGAGGCATGTAAACGTGGATATAGGTATATTTGCGCAGGTGTAGGTATGTAAAGATGGTTATAGGTATATCTGCACAGGTATTAGCATGTAAACATGGATATTAATACATCTGCACAGGTGTTGGCATGTAAACATGGACATAGGTATATCTGAGCAGGTGTTGGCATGTAAACATGGACATAGGTATATCTGAGCAGGTGTTGGTATGTAAACGGGGACATAGGTATATCTGCACAGGTGTTGGTATGTAAACGTGGATTTAGGTATATCTGCGCAGGTGTGGGTATGTAAACGGGGACATAGGTATATTTGCACAGATGTCGGTATGGAAACGTGGATATAGGTATTTCTGAACTAGTTCGGACATGGTTTTCTAACGAGTACTATCCCACATGGAAACCATACCACAGTTTAACACTGATACATCCTACTCAACTCCGCCCTTGTTGTTCACTTGAGGAAAGTTGAAGCGGTAGGATTGACAAACATTCCTAAGGCGATACACATTTATTTTGACAAAATCTAGCAATACTCCAGTCATACAATTTCCAGGAAAATGGAGATGTTCATTCACCTTAATGACACGGTTAGCAAATAGCCGTATGACATAAAAATGAACTTATACCTTCAATGCCTACATGTACATTTCATAGCGAAATGAACACTGACATGTAAATAAAAACTGAGGGGGCACCCGGGATCGAACCGGGGACCTCTCGATATGCAGTCGAATGCTCTACCACTGAGCTATACCCACTTACGTACATACTTACATATACTTTTAAACAGTAGGTAAACATACACAGTGTCGAGTGGTAACAGGTGGTTGGACAACCTGGGTGAACAAATTCGTGAAAGTTCCTCCAATGTCCATGATTTACAGAACTGTACTACTAACCCAAACCAAAAATAAACCGTCAAGCTAATAACGTTTACTTGATTTGATCTAATATTTCATCATTGGGTGCGAGGTGTGCTGTCAGTTTCGAAGGTAGCTTACTCTTCCTTACTTCCCACTTGTACGGAAACCTGGAGTTGCCTCCCCTGCCATGTTGACCCGTTTACAAGTTTAGGGTTTGGGTTGGAGGGCGCTTCCAAAAAGATTTTCTTTAATAAAGCTGATTGAAACGATTGTTTCATTTCTCTGCACAGGAGTCAGTTTGTATACATGGTTATAGATATATCTGCACAAGTGTAGGCATGTAAACGTGGATAAAGGTATATCTGCACAAGTGTAGGCATGTAAACGTGGATAAAGGTACAAGTGTAGTCATGTAAACGTGGATAAAGGTACAAGTGTAGTCATGTAAACGTGGATAAAGGTATAAGTGTAGTCATGTAAACGTGGATAAAGGTATATCTGCAAACGTGTATGCATGTAAACGTGGATAAAGGTATATCTGCACAAGTGTAGGCATGTAAACGTGGATAAAGGTATATCTGCAGACATGTATGCATGTAAACGTGGATAAAGGTATATCTGCAGACATGTAGGCATGTAAACGTGGATAAAGGTAGGTATATCTGCACAAGTGTAGGCATGTAAACGTGGATAAAGGTATTTATTACCTACGAGGGCGAACATATCTATAGGGGTTCATATTTTTCATACGATCCCCTAGGGCAAAATATCACTTTGTCATGGTGACGTGACGTCATGAACAATACTATGACGTCACGTGTCTTCTGTGACGTTGCGTTCTATAGACAGCCTATGTTTGAAAGTAGATTTGGGGTATTTTCCTCAATTTGACGACTTCGGTAATAAACAGAATATTATATTCGCGCCCATATCATACTGTAGGCATGTACACGCGGATTTGAACCAGTCGGACTTTGTTTTATAACAAGCGCTCGCCCACATGGACGCAATACATAGACACCAGTTTAACATTGATACACCCTACTCAGACCCCGAGCCGACTAATCCATGTTTTCACTTTGGTTGAAGCTGTAGAATTGGCAAACATTCCTCAGGCGATATACATTTATTTTGACAAAATCTAACAGTATTCCTTTCATACATTTTCAAGCAAAAAGGAGATGGTCTGCCTTTAAGACACTGCAGCGAATAGCCGTATGGCATAATAATGATCTTACACCTTGAAAGCCTGCATAAACATTTCATGCCAAAAGCAACACTGATATGTGAATAAAAAACTGAGGGGGCACCCGGGATCGAACCGGGGACCTCTCGATCTGCAGTCGAATGCTCTACCACTGAGCTATACCCCCTTACACACATACTTACATATACTTTTAAACACGTAGGTAAAAATACACAGTGTCGAGTGGTAACAGGTGGTTGGACAACCTGGGTGAACAAACCTGTGACAGTTATCCTTTATAGCGTCTTGCGCGATTTACAATAATGCATTTCTAATCCAAGCCAAACATAAACCGTTAAGCATATAACTATTACTTTAGTAGACCGCATATTTCATCATTGGTTGTGACGTGGCAGTTGCTCTATATATTTCAAAGGGAGCTTACTCTTCCTCACTTCCCACGAGTACGGAACCTGGAGTTGCCTCCCTTACTATGTTGACCCGTTAGCAAGCTGACGATGTTGGGGGTAATTCTGAAAAGATTTTCAAACTGATTGAAACGATTATGTTTTTCATATCAACCAGTGTTACAACAAGACTGTCTGTGTCTCATATTTTTGTTTATTGTGAGGAATTGGGACGACAAAGCAAAGGGCGCATAAACATTGTCTGTTTGTAAGCCGTACTCGATAGTATTCCAGTATTAATATTCTTGCTATGTGACTGCGTTATAGGTGCATACTCAAGTTTGAACCAGACAATCCACTGACAGTCACCAAAGATTCACGCCGTCAGGCGCGTAGCAAGCCAACTTTTTCGTGTAAGCTCGATAGGGTTATACCTAAAAGCCTGCAGAATGACTACAGAAGGGATTAACGCAATCGTTTTTGTTGAAGGGCGATTGTAAATATCTGCATTTCAGTTATGATTCACATGTACCCGTGACTCTAACCACACCTTCACATACATGACGGTGGAAAAACAATCATCACT